GAAAGAGAGAAAGAAAGAAAGAAAAAGAAAGAAAGAAAGAAAGAAAGAAAGAAAGAAAGAAAGAAAGAAAGAAAGAAAGAAAGACAGACAGACAGACAGGAAAGAAAGAAAGAGCAAACTAACCCTAAAGCACATAAAAGGAAGGAAATAAACATTATAGCAGAAATTAATGAAATAGAAAGTAAAAAGTGGAGAAAATCAACAAAAGCAAAAGTTTGTTCTTTGAAAAGATCAACAAAATTAACAAACCTTTAGCTCGACCAAACAAGAAAAAAAGAGAGAAGACTCAAATTATTCAATCAGGAATGAAAGAGAGGACAATACTATGAACTTTACAGAAATAAATCAGATTTTAAGGAAATGCTATGAACAACGCTATGCCAACAAATTAGATGGATGAAATGGACAAATTCCTCGAAAAACACAAACTATTGAAACTAAGAAGAAATAAAAAAATTCAATAAAGCTAAAACAAGTAAAGAGATTGAATTAGCAATTTCAAAACTTCTCACAAAGGAAAACTCAGACCTAAATGGCTTCACTGGTGAATTCAATCAAACATTTAAAGAATTAATACCAATTCTTCACTAGGGAACACTTCCCAGCTCATTCTATGAAGTCAGTATTACCCCAACACCAAAGCCAGACAAAGACATCATATGAAACTACAGACCATTATCTCTTACGAATATAAGATGTAAAAATATTCAACAAAATATTAGCAAACTGGATCCAGCAACATGTAAAAAGAATTATACATCATGACCAAGAGAGATTTACCCCAAGAATACAAGATGAGTTTAACCTCTGAAAATCAATCTATGTAATATACCATATCAATAAAGTAAAAAAAAACACATAATAATCTTAATAGATGCAGAAAAATTATGTAGCAAAATCCAACACCCTTTCATGATAAAAACACCCAACAAACTAGGAATAGAAGGGAATTTCTTCAACGTGATAAAGGGCTTTCTATGAAAAACCCATATCTAACACCATACTTAATGGTGAAAGACTGAATGCCTTCCCCCTAAGATCAGGAACAAGACAAGGATGTCCACTGTCACCACTGTACTGGAGGTTCCAACCAGGGCAATAAAGGAAGAAGATGAAATAAAAGGCATCAAGATTGGAAAAGAAGAAATAAAATTATCTCTATTTGTAGATGACATAATCTTGAATATAAAAATTCCTAAGGATTTCACTTAAAAATTATGAGAACTAATAAGCAAGTTCAGCAAGTTGCAAGGTACAAGATTAATATATAAAAATAAATTGTATTTCTATACACTATCAATAAACAATCCAAAAATAAAATTAAGAAAATAAGCCATAATATAAAAAGAAGACTTAGGAATAAGATTAACAAAAGAAGTACAAAACATACTCTGAAAACTACAAAAACTGTTGAAAGAAATTAAAGAACTAAATAAACGGAAAGACATCCCACGTTCATGGATTGGAAGACTATGCATTGTTAAGATGGCAACAGTCCCCAAATTGATCTATAGATTCAGCACAATCCCTAACAAAAGCCCAGCTAGCTTCTTTGCAAAAATTAACAAACTGATCCTAAAATTCAAATGGACAGTCAAGGAACCCAGAATAGCCAAAACAATCTTGAAAAAGAAAAACAAAGTTTAAGGACTTACACTTCTCAATCTCAAAACTTGCTGCAAAGCTCTGGTAATCAAGACAGTGTGGTACTGGTATGAGGACAGACTTATAAATCAGTGGGATAAAATTGAGGGTCCAGAAATAAACTCAAATTTACAGTCAACTGACTTTTGACAAGGGTGCCAATATAATTCAATGCAGGAAGAAGAGTCTTTTCAACAAATGGTACAGGAACAACTGGGTATACACGTGCAAAAGAAGGAAGCAGGGCACCTTCCTCAAATCCTACACAAAAATTAACTCAAAATGGATCACAAGCCTAAATATACAAGGTAAAACTAAAAAAACTTACAAGAAAATACAGACATAAATAAATTTGGTGACCTCAGATCACAATGGTTTCTTAGACATGACACCTACAGCATGAGTAACAAAAGAAAAAATAGACAAACTGGACTTCATCAAAATTAAAAACTTCTGTGTGCCAAAGGGCACCATCAAGAAAGTAAAAAGAATATACCAAATGGGAGGAAATATTTGCAAACCATATATTGGATAAGGGACTTGTATCTAGAATATACAAAGAACTCTTACAACTCAACTTTAAACCCAACTTTAAAATGGGCAAAGGATTTGAACAGATACTTCTCCAAAGAATATATACAAATGGTCTAAAACTGCATGAAAAGATGCTCAACATCATTAGTCATCAAGAAGATGCAAATCAAAACCACAACAAGATACCACTTCACATGCACTAGTATGGTTGTAGTTAAAAAGACAGACAACAATAAGTTGTTGGCAAGGATGTGGAGATACTGGAAACTTCATACATTGCTAGTGGGAATGTGAAATGGTGTAGCTGTTTTGGAAAACAGTCTGGCAGTTCCTCAAAGGGTAAACATAGACTTACCATATGATCTACAAGTCTCACTCCCAGGTATATACCCGAGAAAAAAGAAAACATATATCCACATAAAGACTTGACCATGAATGTTCACAGCAGCATTATTCACAATAGCCAAAAAGTGAAAACCATATGTCCATCAGCTGATGAATGGATAAATAACTTTGGTATATCCATATAATGGAATATTATTTGGCAATAAAAAAGGAATGAAGTACTGATACGTGGCTACAACATGAATGAACCTTGAGAATTTGCTAAGTGAAAGAAGACAGACACAAAAGACCACATAGTGTATGATTCTATTCATATGAAAGGTCCAGAAAAAGCAAACCTATAGAAACATACAGTAGATTAGCTGTTGCTTGAGGCTGGGGGAGGAAGAGTTGAGGGGAAGAGGGACTAATGAAAATGTTCTAAAATTGATTGTGCTGATGGTTGTACAACTCTGTGACTAGACTAAAAATCATGAATTTGTACACTTTCAATAGCTGAATTGCATGGTATGTGAATTATATCTCAATACAGCTGTGATACTGAAAAAACAAAACACTACACTGGAGGCCAATGTTCATCTATTAGATTAGCAGATCATCAAATTCTAGAGCAACCTAGGGGAGGGGAGAACCAGAGGCTGTGATGCAAAGGTACATCAGTGCTACCTTCAAGAAGGATAATCTGGCCAAATCTATCAAAATTATAAGCACATGCATTCTCCAGCCCTGCAATTTGGGATTAATCCTAGAGGCACCTTCACACATGAACACTAAGCATATGATGGAAGACACACATCGCAGAATGGTCTGTAACAAGCAAAAGGCTGGAAACAACCAACGTATTCTTCATTAATTAGATTAAGCATGGTCTCCAACCACACAATGAATACTATGCAACCATGACAAAGAAAGAAATAGCACAAAATGATCTCCAAGGTACACTGCCAAGGGCAAACAGTCAGGTGTAGAACAGAGTATGCCATGCACGATCATTTGGTTTTTTTAAAAAAGCTTTTCAGAGGGGAGGGTATAGCTCAGTGGGAATGCGTGCTCAGCATGCACAAGGTCCTGGGTTCGATCCCTAGTACCTCCATTAAGAAATAAGCAAGCAAACCTGATCACCTTCTCCCAAAACAAACCAAAAAAGTGCAAAAAAAAAAAATCAACTATACTTCATTAAAAAAATTAAATAAATAATATTTTTTTAAAAAGAAAAAGAAATTGACCCAAACGAGATTAAAAAATATATATAACATACATGCTTATCTGTACCTGAACTCCCTGTAAGGACACACCACGAACTCCTCCACGTGGCTGCCTCTGGCCAGGAGACCTGGGTACAAGAGAGGCTTACTTTTCTCTGCCTTCTTTTGTACTGTTTGAATTATTTTTTTACCATGTATGTTAATGCTTTTTCTTTCCTTTTTAAGAAAAAAAAAAAAAACAGGCTTACCTGGTTTCAGATCCTGGCGCGCTCTCTCATAGCTGGGCAAGTCACTTCACTTCTCTGAACCTCTGGATTCTGCAAAGGGAGGGATAATAATAGTATTTACCTTGCAAGATTGTTGTAAAGGATTAAATAAGACAATGCACCACAGCACACACACCACACCACATGCACCGCACGGCACGCACAGCCTCCCCAACGTGTCTGGCTCCTAGTAGTAGGTGTGTAGTCCATGTTAGTTATTAGTATGTTACTGTGCACACCAGGTGGATTGTAATAGGTACCACCAGAGAGCCTCAGGTCAAGTGTTCAGAGCATCACCAATCCCCTCCGACTGGGAGAAACTGGGAAAGTCTTCTTAGGAGAGGCAGCCTTTGAGAAGGGCATTCGCTCAATGATGCATTCACCGGCTCCTTCAACAAAGTCTAGCTGAGCACTGACTATACACTGGACACTACGGTGGGAAAGACAGACAGGCCAAGTAGCTGGACCAGCCAAGGGAGGAATTACAGAGAGGGCGGGCACAATGAGGGGCTGGGGCAGAGCCTCACCCAGGTCCAAGTGCTCATAGAGCAGACCAGGAAGAGGAGGTTCAGACAGGGAGAGGGGCTGCCTAAGATCACACAGCATCTTCTCAACTTCTGGAAATGGCTTCTACCTGCTGCGCCCTCCCCATGTCCCATAGGCCTGGAGAAGACAAAGTCCTGGAGAAGACAAAGTCCACAGGGGCCCGTCCCAGTGTGCACTCATCAGAAGGTGGATACTGATGCCATTTAAATTGAAGGCCCCATAAAGGGGAGGGACAACTGGTTCTCAGACGACAACAGCATCTGGTTGATGGGTAGAGAGACTCCTGTGTGCCCGGCACCATGCTGTGAAGTGCACTACCTCCACGACCCCAGGTGAACCCTCTGCAGCCCTAAGTGGTCAGCCCCATTTTGCAGATGAGGAAACTGAGGCACAGAGAGGTCAAGTTACTTGCCTAAGAGCATACAGCTTAGATAAGAGACAGCATCAGCAGACAGGCTCGGATTGTCGGGCTCCATAGCCTCGTGTCCCGGAGCCCATCCCCCAAGGGAGCCTCCGCCAGGGCAGATAGCAGCCATCGCACCCCCTCGCAAAAGGGCCCTCGGTGGGAGCTGTTGTCAGCCAGTCCAAGAATGTGTCCTGATAACAGTGGCCCAACCGGGGGTGGGAGGAGTGGGCGGTAGAGGTTGTGTGGGGAATGTGTGGGGGTGGAGGAGGGAGGATGGAGGAGGTGGTGGGGAGGGACACGGCCCACTGGAGTTCAACTGTCCTGCTTCTGGAGGGAAGGGAGCAGAAAGGCCCCATCAGGCACCTGCCCGAGGCAGGTGAGGTGCGGCATCCTGGTTAAGGAGCGTCCTGCTGTGGCCCATGGGAGGATCCTGGGCAAGTCAACCACAGCGTCCTTCAGTACCATGAGACCCATAATCATCCCGGGGCAGCTGCAAAGGCAAATGAGCTGACCACGTGTGCCTGGGCACGCTGGCGCACTGGATGAATGGGGCCCTGACCTCTGCTGCTACGCTACTATTCCCATTGTGACTGTTTCACTCTCCAGTTCTCACCAGGACCCTGCTCCACAGGGACCATCAGCCCTGTCTCTCAGAGAAGGAAAGAGAGAGATGCTCAGAAAAGCCAAGTCAGGTGCCCAGGCCACCGTCCAAGACAGCAGAGGACCAGCTGGGGATCCTGGCTCCCCTGGCCCTGGGCCACTCTGGCCCCTCTCCCCAAGGCCACTGGTCCCAGCTGGGCCCTCGCAGGGCCCAAGAAGGGCCCTTGGACAGTTCGTTTTCCATAAGAGTGGAGCCATGGACAGGGAAAGTGGCTGGCCCAAAGCCACACAGCCCAAGAAGGACCACTTATGGAGTGAACTTCCAAGGCTGGGTCCCCAGCTGATGCTCCCTCCGTCCTCCAAACAGAGGGGCAGGGACCACCGGTACTGGTTGTGCCCACAGGGAAGGAAGCTGGGGCTGGAGGAACATGAAAGAGGGCACTGGCCCAACACACCCATCTCACAGGTGGGGTCTGAGTCCCCTTCCTGCCTCCCCTGTGGCCCCCACACTAGAACAGAGGCTCCCGGTGGGCAGGAATCTTCTCCTGATTCCCTTTTCCCTTCAGACTCTCAAAAGGATTACCTGTTCAACTGGGGTGCTTTTCTAAAAATGGGTTCAGAATGTAGAAAAGACTCTTGCTTCCGAGTCGGGGGAGTGTGAATAATGATGATAATGTGAATGGCAGTAGAAACAGCTAATATTTACTTAGCACCTACTATGTGCCCCCATTATCATATATGCCCCCATTATCACCCCTTATTTTACATCATCCTTATTTCACAATGAGGAAATGGAAGCATAGACAGGTTAAATGATTAGATTAAAATCCTGCCCCCTTAGTAGCTAAGTGACAAGCCCCTCCCACTCTGAACTTCTCCCTGAAGCAGGGCAGCCACCCAGGGCCATCAAGAAGGGACCAAGAAAGGAGCATGCGGCTGGACACTTCTTGGCAGGGCCAGGGCCAGCTCAGCCCCCTCCCAAGAACTCAACACCATCAGCTGCTCCAGTGTGGACTGATGGGGTGGAATGGGACATGCTGATGGGAGTGTGGAGACCTACACCTTCTTCCCTCATGTCTTTCCACTTGACGTTCACACCACCTCTTCAGTGCTCCCAACAGTCCTGGAATGAGCTGTGGCCATACTCACTTTACATGTGAGCACACAGGGGCTCCAGGAAGCTGCCCCAGCCAGGAAGTGAAGAGCCAGGATGCCAACGCAGGTCCAAGTGATACCAAAGCCCATCCTCTCTCCACTGAAGCTGCAGGGAGGCATGGGAAGGGCAGCCCAGGAGGTGAGAACAGCACATGCAAAGGCCCTGAGGCAGGAAGGTCAGATGTGCAGGGAGTTACTGAGCGAGCGGTCTGGACTGAGTGGGTTCCAGGTTAATGAAGTCAATATAGGCCTTTAGCCCAGGCATGAGGAGGTCTGAGGGAGGCCCTCAGAGGGACCTGTCCAGCAATTAAGGACAGAAGGCCTGAAAAACTGAGAGGAAGGGCCATGAAGATTTTCTCAGGCTCTTGAGTGTGCTGGGAGGGGCGGGGCCTTCATTTGACAGCGATCTGTCAAAGCACAGTGATCTCCAGCTCCAGAGGGGGCATCTAAACCATGGTGGACTTCCCACAGGAGGGGACATCTCAGCTGAGGTCCAAAGGCTGAGCAGTTTGTGAAAAGTGTGACCTAGGCAGAAGGCATCGCTGTGCCAAAGGCCCAGACACGGGACCATTTAGAGAAAGGCAAAGAGCCAGTCATGGAGCCTGTTTCCCCAGGAGCAAAATGGAGGGAAAGATGGGCACACAGTGGGTGACTCCCTCTTCCCCACACCCATTTCCCACCATCTCCCTTCTCCAAGGCCCCTGCACTAGGGAGGGGGCTGCTGGGTCGTCCTGCCTTGGGAGCATCTTTGGGGCTGGTGAGGTTGGCAGGGCTGGGAGGCTTCACTGACCCCCACCCCCACCCCCTGCTGGTTTCTACCTGTCCAGGCCAGGCAGCCCGGCTGGTAGATGGGGAGGGCAGCTCACAGGCCAGGAGGCCACAGCCCTAATCTCAGAGAACTTTCTGAGATATCCCCTTTCACAGATGAGGAAGGGAGGCTCAGTGAGGGGTGCACCCAGCACCCAGCACCCAGTCACACAGCAAGGTGGAGGCCAGCCCTCAAATGAGGGTGTGGGACTGGGACTCTGAAGATAAGATTCTCGGGGAATCAGGCCCAGGGGTGCTGTGCTGAGGAGGAGCTGGAAGAGGAGATGCGGGTCCGAAATGACCACAGACCAGGCAGGTCTCAGGGACCCACCTGATGAGGGCCAGCCACCATGTGGCTAAGCGGAAGGCCTCCATCAGAATCTCTGCATGATCTCAGCAAGTCACGCCCCCTCTTGGGCCTCAGCACTTGCAAGGAGACAAAGGCTCTGGTGTGCCAAGGATTCCTTAATGGACCCCCAAGGACCTGGGCTGACCACAGGGAACACTGATGTGAGAAGCTTCGCTCTCTCCCAGCCTCTCCAAGGTCATGTCTCCCGGGTTCCCCAGGGGCCCCACCCCTGCTGGCTGATGGCTGCCAGCCGGCCCCTGCCCACGGGGACCGCTATTTCCTGCCAGCAGCTCTGGCTGCTTCCCTGCTCCGGGAACGCACAGTGCCCCCTCCTCCCCGCCCACACCCGCACAGGAACTCCCTCCAGGGACACTGGTGGGCAGGAGCACCTGGTGGCCAGGGCCCTCCACATAGTCAGTCTAGAGCTCAACCCCCACACTCAAACCCACAGGTGCCTACCCTGGACGTGCGACCTTGGGAAGGTCCAGCCCTCGCTTTACTCATCCATGAAATGGGGGCTCTGGCTGATCTCTGAGGGAGAGGGCACCCGAGCCTGACACTGAGGATGGTGGGCAGCAGGATGGTTGATACCCTTAAAGCTCCTACGTGCTGCTCACGGGATCAAGGCCAAGGGCAGAAGGGGACATGCTCCCTCCTCCCTTGCCCTTGACCCTCCCTTGGATGTAATTACCCTCTAGCCTCCAGACCTTTGCACATGCTATTTCCTCCCCTGAAGCCTCACGACCCGCCTCCCCTGTGCCTCCTACGAACTCCCATGTACACTGCAGGCCTGACGACAGCCCATATTTTACCTTGCCTGCCCTCCAACTAAGAGAGGTACCCCTCTTTTTCTGGGCTCACATAGCCCCCATCACATGGGGATTAAGAGCTGGGGTTCAAAACCCAGCTCTGATCCTTCCTAGCTGTGTGACCTGGGAAAAGTTACTCTACCTCTCTGTGCCTCCATTTCCTCCCCTATAAAATAAGGACAAAAATAATAATTACCTCCCATGATTGTCATGAGGATCAAATGAATTCATATTTGTGATGTGCTCAGAACAGAGCGCAGACCCTCACAAGCGTGCCACGAGTGTTCACCATCAACCAATCAGAGTCGCCGCTGATACTTACTGAGCACCTCCCGTGCACCAGGCCCTGTCCTCAGTATTCTACCAGAATATTCTCACCACAGCCTGAGAGGAGGTCCACTATGAACTTCACTTCATGGCAAAGACAGGGAGGCCCAGAGACATCAGCTTCTCCTCAAAATAGAAGTGAGGAAGGAGGAGATTTTTGCTGTTGTTAAGGAACTACTGTTTATTTCTTTTAGGTAGATTGTGGTTTTGCAGCTACTTTCTTACCATGAGTCCTTGCCTTTTAGAGAGGCAAACTGAAAGACTCACACCTGAAGTATGCCATGCAGGATTTGCTTTAAAATGACGGGTAAGAGGGTGGGACAGAAGTGGAGGGGGTAGTTGGCTAGGACAGGCCAGGAGTTGGTGGTGCTTGGGAACTCACAACGAGTTCGTGGGGTTCATTATACTTTTGTTTCCATAATAAAGAGTTCAAAAAAGAAGATGAAATAAAGTAATGCAAAAAACAAAAAAACAAAAAAAGTTTGACTTCCCTTCCCCTCTCCCACCAGCTGCCCCCAGCCTGGGCCAACCATCATCACCCTCTCCACTCACTGGGCCGATAGCCTGCCTCCAGCCGAGGCCCCACAGTCTGCTCTTCACGCAGCAGCCGGATGTGCTCAAAAGCCTCCTGTAGTCCCTGTCTCACTGCAGGTTAAGAGACAATACCGAAGAAGTCCAGAGGCCATCCCCACCACCCACCTTTCTGCCCTTTCCTCCCTCCGTTCTCCCCCTCGCTCGCTCATTGCTGTTCCTCCAACACTCCAGCATGCCCCTACCTGAGGGTCTTTGCACTGGCTGTTCCCTCTACCTGGATTCTCTTGCCCCAGGGAGCCTCAAGACTCCTCCCTCCCCTCCTGGGATGTGAGCTTCAGGGAGCGGTCTTCCCCCGCTAGTTAGTCATCTAATCACAGCCCCGTTCTCTCCGCCCCAGCCAGCCCTCCAACCCCTTCCCTGCTTTGACCAGGGCACTTATCATGTTCTTACAGACCACGTGCATATTTTCCTTATTTGTTGTGTTTTTGTCTCCCCCACTAGAATGTCAGCTCTGTGAGCACGGATTTTTGTCTAGTTGTTTCTTTGCTGTATCTCAAGCCTCTAGAACATTGGCACATAGTAGTGCTCAGTAAATATTTGTGGGAGGGAGGGATGGAGGGAAAGAGGGAGAGAGGGATGACGGGAGGGTGAGAGGGATGGAGGGAGGGTTGGAAGGATGAAAGAATAAAGAGAGGGAGGGATGGAGGGAGGGAGGAATAGAGGGCAGGAGGAAGAGAGGGATGAATGAGTCCTACCCAGGGCCCCACAAGGTAAAGAGGGATAGGCCTCAGCCCAAGGTCCGTCCTACCCCACAGTCTATGTCCCAACCACTGCGCTCTCCTGCCTGGCATGTCTCCATGGCAGAGCCTCTGACCACCTTGATGACACAGGACAGTGTGCAAGTCTGAGACAGCTCTAGGCCGCGAGCCCTGCCCAGCATGGGCTCAGGCACAGCTCGGGTACCAGAGGATGTTTGCCGAGTGAGCCAGGAGTGAGTAAAGCATGAGCCAGGGGCCATCCATGAGCCAGGGCAGCCAGAACATGTCTGGTCCTGTGTTCACGGCATGAACACACTCAGGGCTGGCAGGCCCCAAACCGGCTCTGCCAGTGTGGCTGGGGTGGGGCGGGTGCTGCAGGCTCAGGCTGGCACGGCAGACAGACGGAGGGGTGCCGCCAGGGACAGGACCCGCAGCCCAGGGAGGGCGAAGGCTAAGCAAGTGGACCGTGGCGCTCCCACTCATCCCAGCCCGGCAGAGACAGAATTGTTCCAGCCCCTTTGGCTCTTGGCATTCTTCCTGGGCAGGAAGGAGACCCCTTTCCAGACCCTAGGCCCTGAGCTGCTCTGAAAAGGGCCGGATCCCTTCCCGCTAGGACCTGTCCACAGCCTGGAAGCCCTAGAGGGAAGGGTAAGGCTGGGAAGTGGGCGGCACCAGAGCAGGACAAGCAGCAGGCAACCTGGTGTGAAGCCCCACTCTGCCGCTGGTTGCTACAAAGCCTTGAGCCAGTCCTGGGCTCTTCAGGACCGTTTCCCCAGGTGGAAAGTAATGCTGGGCATGCATTCCAGGGACCTTCAATTCCAAGGTGCTGAGTTATCTGGAAGAGACCACCTCGGCAACTCCAGCCCTGCCCCTAAAGCGCAGCTCTGGGGTGGACGTGGCTAGAGCCCAGACTTGCACGCACGTCCTTACTCCCCACAGAAACAACAATAATAAGAATACCTGCTGACCACGGAACACTTTCTGTATGCCTGGCATCAGGCTTTACAGTCACTGTTTCATCTGGTCATCCCCACAGCACTGCGAGGTTGGGACCATTACTGTGCCCATTTCCCAGCAGGGGAAACTGAGGCCCCGGTCACATGGTAAGTTGGAGTCCAAGCCCCTGACCCCACCCTTGAGGTCACACTGAGCAGCCTCCATCTCCCCAAGATAGTTCAGGGCAGGAAAGAAATCTCAGATACACTCTGAAGTCTATAGCTGGAATTGGCGGGGCAGGGTCCATATTCCCCAAATCCAGAAACCCCTGAGTCCTGAGAGGCCCAGCCCCAACCTTGCCCCCACTATATAACTCAGGCCAGAGTATACCACTGGGAGCCTCAGTTTTCTCATCTATAAAATGGGTAGGACTCTGCCAGGTTCACCTAAGGTATACTGCTATTTAAAGCCCAAGGAACTGGAGGACTCAGTCTAGCCTCCAGGACAAGGTGGAGAAGCTGCTGGGTGTATGTGCCTCTTGATGGATTAGGGGGAAGGGGAGTAAACATGAACCTGAAGCCCACAGTGACTTCACCAGAGGGCACTCAGCCCCTCATCAGCAGCCCAAGAGAGGAAGGCTGATTCCTCTCATGCCCCATGAACCCAGTTCCAACCCCTGTCAGTCCCACCTCCAAACACATCCTGAATCTATGTCCTTCCCTCCTGCCTTAGTCACCCCCTAGTCCAGGCCCAGCCTCCTCCTCCAGGCTGGCCAACTGTGGGCAGAGAGCCTTTCTGAAATGTCAGACTGAATCTGTCCTGCTTAACACCTCTCCCAGCCCACACCCCAAGAGAAACGACAAAGTCCCCACAGGGACCTCCAAGGCCCTACAGTGGACTCTACTAGCCCCACCCCCTTCACTCCTTCTGCTCCACCCACACTGGCCACTTCCCCTTTCCCTGAGAACCCAGTGCACACCTGCCTCAGGGCCTTCGCACTTACTGTTCCCTCCACCCAGAGCATACTTCCCCTACACATATGCCTCACTCCCTCACTTCCTTCAGGCGCTTTACTCCTGTCACCTGCTCAGAGAGGCCTTTCCTGACCACTGGTTTAAAGGGCAACACACTGAGCCAACTCTGCTCTCTTGAGTCTCATTTCAAAAGCCACCTCCTCACAGGAGGCCTCTCTGACCTCCCCCAGCCCAAGGGAGAACCTTCAACTTCTCCTTCCCAGCGTGGACCGTAGCTCTCATAACGTAACACACTGTATGAGTACATGTCTGATGAGGACAAGGGGCCACTTCTGTCTCACTCACGGCTGAACACTGCAGTGGGTATAACATTCGAAACAGTTAACAGCTGAGATGCTAAGGTGCCATCCAGTCAGAATGGACACTAGCCAAAAGTGCAGGGTCTAACATGGAGTGGGTACTTGGTAATTACTGAATGAATGAACAAATGGATGGATGGATGGATGGATGGATGGATGATGGATGGATGGATGGATAAGTGAACAGGGCACACACTGTGGGCCTGGGACTTACCAGGGATGCCCGGGGCCCTGAGAAGGTGGCCCGGAGAAGGGAAGGGTCTCCCCAAGTTCACCAGCCAGGCTCTGCAGCTGCAGCCTCTCCTCCTGCACAACCTGACTTTCATTTCCCATCCTCTCAGTCTGAGGAAGTTCCTTCCCCCAGGGGAACTGGGGGAGGAGGAGGGGCAGACAGCCCCTTGGTCCCCGAAGGGGGGGCTCCCAGGCTCCATCTGTCCCACCACAAAGGGGCTTTGTCCTCGGTGCTGAGAGCCTGGGGCAGACCGGAAGCTGCCCCTCAGCCGCCCAGCAGGTCCCAGCACCCCCAGTCAGCTGCGCCAACAGCTCCAAAGCCAGATCTCAGGGGCTGGCATGGTGTGGAGCACAGCCCACTAAAATCTCTTTACTCTTCCTAGGAGTCCTAGGAGGGAGGGTCTAGGACGACCCCCATTTTCACAGATGGGGAAACTGAGGCAAAGCCACTTGGCCAAGGTCTCCCAGCCAGCAAAGACCAAAGCTGGGATTTGAAACCAGGCCCACCTGGCCCCCGAGTCTTCCACTGCTCTCAAGTGCCCCTGTCTGGAGGACAGGCCTTCTGGGTTCAGGAGGGCGGAGGGGCCTTTCTGGAAGCACAAGTGGCCAACCGTTCCCAGCCCTTACCCCAGCAGGAGACCACTGCCCTGGCACGGTCTACCCAACCATGGAGGGCGGTTGGACTCTGAACCCCGAGTTTGCCCCAGGCCCAGCCCATGCCCCAGGTGTCTTCGGAGTCTGCCGGCCAGGCCCTAGCACGTCTCCACCACTTACTGCCAGGCAGGTGTCTGCAGGGAAGAGATGTGCGGGCAGGCAGACCAGGGGGCAGATGTCCCCTACCCTTCGCCGCTCCCCTGTCAATACCAGACCTGCCATCTGCCCGGCCAGTACCCAGCCTCTCTCCAGTCCTGTCTGTTCTTACGGCAGTCCCCAGGGCCACTGCACCAAAGCCACACTACCTCAGCTGGGCACTACTACCCCCAGCGCCAGACAAATCAGTCCTGCCCCGTGGCCTCTCCTCACTGCCCCAAGGCCGCATGTAGGTACACCAGCCATCTCTCAGGGCAAAACTCTCCTGCTCCTCTGAGCTCCAACAAGAGCAGCTACTGACACTGCATCTTCTGGCCTTTCTCAAGCTCTACCTCCCCACCAGAGAACCACTTCATTCTTCCAGGTGTGTCATAGGTACTGCTTCCTCCAGGGGGTCTTCCGTGACTCACTCCAAGACTTCAGACCAGCCTCTAATTTGAGCCCCAGAAAGAATCCCCATCTTGAACCCCAGCCTCTGGGCTGCCTTCACTTGGCAACAGTAATTGAGCACCTGAGCCTGGCCTGATCCTTCCCTTCACACCTTCAGCAGGAGAGCTGCCCTGTTCCCAAAAGCCCCAGGCTAAACTTTGCCTGACCAACCTAGTCACCCTCTAACTACCTTGTACGTGATCTGCCACTCCTCACCTCCGCAGGCTACGCCGACACACACCAGGTTATTTCTCACCTCCAGATCTTTGCTGACACTGTCCCTTCTTCCTGGGGGGCCCTCACCCTTCTTCTTCCCTCATGAGTTATCCTCTGCGAAGCCCTTCTGGCATCCTAATGGCTGCCACAGTCCATATGGCGCCCACCCCATGGTACTGCAACGATCAGGGTCTGTGTCTGGCTCCCCCAGGGCGCAGGCTGCTCCCAGAGGGCAGCTTTGAGGTCCCCAGCACAAGGCTGGGTGACATCAGCAGCAGGTGAGCAGAAGTCCAGCTGCCAACTCCGGCCCAGAGAACACAGGGGCAGAGCCAGGAGCAACTCCCAAAGGCAGCGCCGAGTCCTCTTCTGCCCTCACTGCCCACAGATCTAAGGTATGGGT